TGGTAAAGAAGAAGGATGGCAGCATGCGGTTTTGTGTTGACTACCGCCGTCTGAACGACGTTATGAAGAAGGACAGGTATCCCTTGCCAAGAATTGATGCCACGCTGGACATGCTTACAGGAGTAAAGTGGTTTAGCACGCTGGATCTAAAAAGTGGCTACTGGCAAGTTAAAATTGACCCCAAGGACAAGGATAAAACTGCGTTGTCGACGGGAAAGGGTCTGTGGCAATTTAAAGTAATGCCGTTTGGGTTGTGCAATGCTCCAGCAACGTTTGAAAGGCTGATGGAACTTGTACTTGCCGGGCTAATTGGCGATGCCTGTCTGGTCTACCTTGATGACATCATCATCGTAGGCCGTACGTTTACGGAACACCTTCAAAATCTGGAACGCGTGCTCATGAAGATTCAGAGTGCCAACCTCAAGTTGAGTCCAAAGAAATGTTCACTATTCAAACGGCAAGTTAATTTTTTGGGGTATGTAGTATCGGAAGAAGGTATACGCACGGATCCAGAGAAAATCGCCGCTGTCAAGGATTGGCCGGTTCCAAAAGACAAGACGCAGGTTAGAGCATTTTTGGGTTTGTGCTCTTACTACCGGCGATTTGTGAAGAACTTTGCAGATATAGCCAAACCTCTGTATAAGCTAACCGAGGAGAAGCTGGAATGTTCTATCTATAGAATGAGAATAGTTCTAGAAATAGAGAAATGTTGCAATATCGCATTCCAGGAGCTCAAGGACCGTCTGTACAAAACACCTATTTTGGGATACCCTGATGCAAGCAAAGAATTTATAGTTGACACAGACGCAAGTGATACAGGGCTCGGCGGTGTGTTGTCTCAACGGAACGGTGATCGAGAGATTGTGATAGCGTACTTCAGCAAGTCGTTGTTAAAACCGGAAAGGAACTATTGTGTCACAAGACGTGAATTGCTAGCTGTGGTAAAGTCGTTGCAGCATTTTAGCAAATATCTTCTGGGGCGAAAATTTCACTTAAGGACTGACCATGCTGCACTAAAATGGCTATTGCAGTTTAAAAATCCAGAAGGACAAGTTGCGAGGTAGATTGAACTACTGCAGGAATACGACTTTGAGATCGAACATCGCAGCGGGAAATCTCATGGCAACGCAGGTACATTGTCAAGAAGATCTTGTCCTGAAGATTGTAAATATTGTACTAGGTAAGAGAGTAAGGATGTGGTATCCGTGAGGATGCTCAGGGCAGACCACCTCAGCAACGAGTGGAAGGACAGCTTACAATGTGCACAGCAGGAAGATCCGGACATCAAGACGATTCTGGAATGGATGAAGGCCAGTTCTCCCAATCCCAAGTAGAGCGACGTCCCAGCGATGAGTTCGACCACTAAAAGCTATTGGACCTAGTGGGACAGCTTGCTGATTCAGGATGGAGTTCTGTGCCGTAAATGGGAAAATGTTCGGGGAGACAGCTGTCATTTGCAAATGGTTGTCCCTAAAGCTAAAGTACTTGATGTTCTACAGCTGTACCATAATTATTATTCAGGAGGTCATCTGAGAGTTAAACGAACTCTACTGAAGATCCGAGAACGGTTTTACTGGGTCCACTGTCGAAACGATGTCGAGGACTGGTGTCGCAAATGTACAAGTTGTGCGGCTGTAAAGGGACCTCAGACTCGTAGTAGAGGTGCATTGAAGTTGTACAATGTTGGTGCACCATGGGAGAGAATAGCCATTGACGTGGCGGGGCCATTTCCGGAGAGTGAAAGCGGTAACAAGTATTTCATGGTTGTGATGGATTACTTCACTAAGTGGCCAGAAGTCTTCGCCATTCCAAATCAAGAAGCTTCAACAGTTGCAGATAAACTAGTTCATGAAGTCTTCTGTCGTTTTGGGGTACCTTTAGAGATTCACAGCGATCAAGGAAGGAATTTTGAGTCTCAAATATTCCAGGAAACTTGCCGAGTTATGGGTACTCATAAAACAAGAACGACTTCTTATCACCCGCAATCTGATGGAATTGTAGAACGATTTAATCAGACATTGGAAAGGTACCTAGCAAAAGTTGTAGACAACCGGCAACGAGATTGGGATAAGCACATACAACCGTTTTTGCTGTCATATCGAAGCGCTGTTTACGAAAGTACATCAGTCACACCAGCTTTCGCAAACTTTGGAAGAGAGTTACGGCTGCCTGCAGACCTGATCACCGGGATAACACTTGATGCCCCACGCAGTATAACCGATTATGTAAATGACTTGCGGAACAAAATGAATGACATTTATGAACACGTCAGACAATCGGGCCAGCAAATGTCTGAAAAGATGAAAACCCGGTATGACCGCAAAATGAACAACAAAGGGTTCGACGAAGGTTCACTAGTGTGGTTGCACAATCCGGTCCGCAGCAAAGGGAAATCTCCTAAGCTTCAAGCTAAATGGGACGGTCCGTACCGGATTGTGACCAGGATCAACGATGTAACCTATCGGATACAGAAGGGCGCAAGAGGGACTCCTAAGATCGTCCATGTGGATCGCCTGGCGCGTTATTATGGGGCCGATAATGCTCGGGACGAGCATGTCTTAGGAGGGGGCAGTGTTGCGCGGCTAAGTTGACATCTGGCACTAGCGCCATCTAGTGTCGGGTAACGGAGCGAGGGGAGAGCTTTCCAGAAAATTACATCACTAATCTTTCAACCGACAACGCCATCTGTTGTCGAAACGAAGAACTAAGCTTCTGGAAGCTGAATCTCGAACTTTCGGCGCTTTGTCGATTGGTGCGCGTATTTACTTGAATGTTCTGAATGAATCGTTACTAATGTGTATTTATAGGCGCTGCAAGGTGCGATCGGGGAAGTATTGAATTCGGCGAGACAAGCGAAGCTTCGGAGCGGAATAAAGTGAATTGGTGTTTTAAGTTTTAATTGCGCTTGACGCTCAAGGTCGCTCAGCGAGCAATGGAGAGGGCTATGCTCGGAGTTTCTCTGCATGATAGCCTCAGAAATGAGGATATCCGCAGTGAAACCAGAGTGACCGACATAGTCCAACGGATTAGTAAGCTGCACTAAATCAAGTGGCAATGGGCCGGCCATATAGCTCGAAGAACCGATAACCGATAGGGAAGAAAGGTTCTCGAGTGGCAGCCTCGTACCGGTAGGCGTAGAGTAGGGCGACCCCCCACTAGATGGAGTGACGAACTAGTAAGACATTCGGGAAGTCGATGGATGCAGGTGGCTCAGGACCGTGCTTTGTGGCGTTACTTGGGGGAGGCCTATGTTCAGCAGTGGACTTGTGAAGGGCTGTAATGATGATGATGATGATTGTATTTTTTTGTACACTTGAGACTCGCTCAATTCAAGTGTAACGATGGAATTACTCATGTTCGCAATATCATGACTATGAGAAACTTCGCTAACGCTATTATTGAAGTACACGGATAAAAAGTGACTTGCAAAAAGGTTCGCTATATCGGTGCCTGAGGATGCAGTTGAATCTTTCAATATCATTTTAGCGGGAAGTACAGAAAGACCTTTACGCTTATCTTTGATGAAACGCCATAATTTGTCCGGATCTTTACAGATGCTAGACTCAATTTTTGTCATGTAATTATTGTAGCAGATATTAACAAGTTTATGGCATCCTTCGCGAAGAAGATTGTACTCATACTTATCTCTAGGATTGCCGTACTTGGCATATCGTTTTCTAAGTTTTTCCTTATCTTTTATAAGTTTTATTAGATTTTTCGTAAATACACATGTAAACCAACTCGGAACCCACCATGGGTTCCGAGTTGGTCTACATGTGTATTTGGGTACATGATTGATAATTTTACTCCTCAGTTTTTTTTTTTGTAAAATTCAGTGACAAAATCATTGATGTCCTTACAGTCCTTAAAAATGGTGAGCCAATCAGTACAACTCAATTCCAGGATGAACGAATCAAAGTCTGCCTTGTGGTAGTTATGTTTTACACGTGGCTTAGGTAGCAGATTTTTGTCGTATTCAAAATTAATTTCTGATATTTCAATGAGTATAGAGGGATGGTACAGATCAAGTTTACTTAACAAATCTAAGGGTTGAGAGACATTTAGGCAATGCAAACTACTTAAGGCCAAATCCGGGGTTCTACCATGTGAATTCCTTATATGGTTGAATTGGTGCAGATTATTCATAGACAAGCAGTCCACCAGACAGCGTTCTAAATCATTATTATAATTAGTAGGAATTGTGTGATTACAGTCATCGTTAAACTCCCAGTCGACAAAATTTAGATTAAAGTCACCCATCACAATTGAATTATCAATATGGTTCAGCATACTGTCCAGATTATCTAAGAAACCCTTTGTTGCTCCAATCTGCACAGTATAAAGAGTGGAATATGAACCATTTATTCTGTCTCCAATGTTAACCCAAAGGTCTTCGCAATTAGTTTCCCAGTTAGATATTCGCATAGAAGGTATTTCACTGGATACCGCTATTAATACTCCGCCACCATCCTTCTTGGATCTTGAAGTGCTTGAGCGATCCCTGCGGTATACAACATATCTAGAGTCAATGAATTCACTGTCTGAAGTCACTGAGATACTTGAATTTAGCTGTGTTTCGGTAAAGATAATTATAACTATTTATATGTTTTTGTACACTTCATTAGTCTTCGTTCGAATCCCACGGATATTTTGATAATATATATATCGAAATTTATAACTAAACTTTTAAACACTCGCTAATCTTTACCTAACTATTTAATTTACGCTAAACTGTACATATTACGAATTAACAATGCCTCGCTGAATTCATACTTCCGTACAAAGATTCGGCCATTTCGTACCCAATTGAACTTATATTTGCATTCCTCCATGCAAAGAATTGTTTGTTGGAGACAGATGTTCAGAGACGAAGACTGGCTTACTAATACCAGCAAGGCCGAGATGTTGAGAGCTTAGTTTATCCTTGTTATTCTTTTTGTTAAACGAAGATACCGAAGCAAGAATAACATCACGTTTTCTGGGTGCACGCATCTTCACTTTTACACACGTGGCCGCTTGCTGTCTTTGCTCAGCTTAGAAACCCGTGTTACATGAATAATCTCCTCAGCAGATACTGGTGCATCTACAGTTTTAATGAGTTCTTCAACAACATTGTTTAAGTTCTCGTGTCTGTGTTCCGGAATGCCATTTATTTCGATATTGCTGTCTCTCATATTTTGTTCAACTAGGTGGAGCCGATGCGTCAATTTGTCTACTGCTAGATTCAGCTTATCATTGTCTCTTCTTAAGTTATCGACTAATGTATTCCTTTCGTCCAAAGCCAATTTTAAATCTTCATACTGCCTGTTGAAAAACGTTAGAGATTCCCTCAGTTCCTTGATTTCCCCCAACATATTCTTTATCTCTGCTGTCATAAGCTGCCTTATTGTTAAACGAAGTGCTCCCGCGAGTTCCTGTTGAAGCTTCTCAGCTTAGTTTCAGTAATGTAATCGCCGCCATTCCCAGGTTCCTCCGATGAGCAGTCAACGAGAGAAATTGACTTTGCCAGATCGAGATTCCTCAGGGTGATATTTCCGGAGTGGGTTCCCAAGTTTCCAGTACCAAAGGTGTTGTCAAGGTCTCCGGTTTCCACAAGGTCGCGACGAGCAGCAGGTTGGATGGGGCTGTTAGTATTATACACTTTAGGTTGCTTACTGCAACATTCAGGACACTTCCAACTATGCTTGCGATCTTTTTCAGGTGCATAAAAGCTATTAAAGCGGCTTTGAGATATATCGGCACAGTTTAAATCATATTTCATTTTGCATAAAGCGCATACCAAGAACTCACGGTTCTGTATGATGCTGCGGCAGTTAGAGCATATTCCAATGTTACTCGCAGTTGATACCATCTTCCAATCGTTAAACAGTCAAAAAGCAAAAAAAGCAACTCGTAGTAAGCAAAGATAGTAAAAAACAAAAAAAATTGTGAACTTACTGGACTTGAACTCGGTGACTTAGGTAGTAACGCTATGCACAGTGAAGTATTGGCCACTGCACCAATCGTCTCGCTACGCTGTGACGTGAAACAAGCTAATGTATTCTCGCCTACAGTTGTGTAATGTCGACAACGATGAGCAATCCAAGTCTAACTTTCTATTTTCAAGGACACGTCGCGAACGAACACGACACCCGATGATACACAATTGAATTATTACACTTGATAACGTATATTTTTGGTGAAAATCACTGATTATCTCTATTAAATGTTAATGTTTTATTCAAATCACTGAACACACCGAAACTTTCAATATAGAGGGGAATTTAAGCTAAAAATACACCAAAATAACGTGATAAGACTTATTTGGGAAATAAAATAACGTGCGTGACCTACAACCTGACTAACCGCTCGGGCGGCCGCGCGCGAATTCACTATGACTATTGTGTCTTTTTCGCGGACAGGGAAACTGTTAAGAATTTGTCGGAAAGTACTAAAAAAACATTAATTATAACGACTGAAAATACAATGTAATCTAGGTAGCAGTAAATCTGTTTAACATTTTTTATGCTCGCAGCTTGTCTGTCGGTTTATGAAAAGAAAACAAATTCTTCTAATTTGTAAATGTATCTGTATTTTGTGATAGCTTCTCCGACTAGTTTAATGTGTTCTAGATTCAACACATCAGATTGACGTCCGCATCTAGGAACGTCTTCTCTTTAATATCAGGAACATCAATACTCCAATAATAGAATGGCTGATTATCGGGGGATACTTCATAACATCATTTGATATGTATGTTATTTTTACATAGTTTATAGGCCAGAGAGTGATAAACGCTACTTTAATCCCGGAAATATGCACGGTTCAATTCGGTTCGCAAATATGCTACTATCCTGGCTATATGAATACATCAACGCTTGGCGACATAAATGGGTAAGAACGTACTCCTGCACAGGCGGACTCCCGAGCGGGGAGGAGTCCTGTCACCTACGTGTTTTTATTTTAATATTTTTGATGTAAGCAATATATAGGTCTTGCTGATTTTGTAACTATAACAAGGATCAGGGAAGTAAGAACTGCCCATTTTGCGAGTATATTTCCTTCTCACTTTTATCCAACTCTCTTACATATAGGATCTCAAAATTATTTCGATCAAAACCTGCTATATTGAAAAACCCGTCAAATTAGATTATACCAATAAGACAGTTTGTCAGACTCTTTTCAGCTTCAAAAACGTCTCAGAAATAAGAGGATGTATGTGACTATTTGGGACGTTTTTTAAATAGCCGTTCTCGATATTTCGTCTGGCTCTGACATGAACGATATGGTTATTCAGCCGTATATAGAAAGTCATTAGATTTTTAGTGACTTTTCTCCTAACAGCCTCATACACTTCTGAAACTTAACTGGAATTCATTTTCGCCGCCACTACACAGAAAAAGAATTATAGTTCACACCTATTTTTTCTTAGTTTCTTTTTCATATTTTCTTAGTGCATATCTACGTTACTTAGTTTTATTTTAAACATCTTACTGAATGAATAAGCCCCAATATATAAATTAAAATTGTTAACAAAGATTTCCCTGCAAAAAATTCTTCACTACTAATCTCCTTATTATTTTAAATAACGCTTTTTAAAAATGATTTCGATTAAACATTCCATTCAACGAAGAACTGTGCCACGGAGTCGTCAAATCAATTCAATCGAAATTACCAATTGGTACATTGGTAATTTCGATTGAACCAAAGAAGACTATTTACATGATAAAAAATTGACTTGAATAAAGGTGTCTAGATGTAATGTAAATTTTTTCATGATAATAGCGACAGGATAAAATTTTGTACATTCCATAATAATTTCTATAAAGTCATAAGGTCGCTCGGTCAGCAAACACGTTGTGAGTTGATTCGCACACAGAAGAGTGCGCGTACGTGTATTTGTTGCCAATAAATCACATTCAGTTAGGGATAATTTCAAATAAAAATAAAAGCCTTATTTACTCATTTTTTAAACTGAAATAACCGTATATATTATTTACGTAATATTTGAACTTAAATATGAAATTTATCTACTCTTTAAAAAAAAAGACCTCTATATGTAAATCTCGAGACGCTTCCTAGGATAGCATAATCTATATATACTTAGTCGGTTCATAAGTTCTGTCAAAACCTTATTATTTAAAAATTTTAAATACTGGATAGATGTACTTCACCAATTTTTAAAATATAACGTTTGTGCTTGCCGAAAATAAAAAAGACATTAATTTTCATTCATTTTCATACATGGAGTGGTCGAAGAAAAAAGATAGAGTAGCGGTTATCTCGTTGCACCGTTGTGTGGTTACGCGCCAAACAAGATTTTGAATATTCTGCAAAAATTGAAAATAACCCTACGATTTGTTTATCGCACTATCAAACGATTTACTGATTACTTATTCAAGCTTTGAAGATCGGAAGATGAACCCAATACCCACAATCATCAAAACAGAGATGGCGCGAATCCAACGAAATCCTGTTCGTAAACAAAAAATCTTAACCCTTCGGATGGGCCTAACTAGAACCACGGTCAAAAAAGAGATCAATGAAGACCTAGGACTACGAGCTTATCGTAAGAAGACCGGATATTTTTTACGTGCGTTTGAAAAAAAATTAGGCTGTACAGATCCCGCGCTTTGTTACGGCGGTACGTTGGTAAAAAATACCGCGAAATTTTGTTTTCGGATGAAAATTTTTTTAACATCGGAGATAATTATAATAAAAAAATGATAAGGTGTATGTCCACAGCAGTGAAGAAGCCAGCACGCGTATTCCGAGGTTCAACGAGCACATTATCCTTCGACACTCATGGTTTGGCTTGGAGTTTCATATTCAGGCTTAATTGAGGTGTTTTTCGGTGAAAAAGGTTAAAACCAGAGCCGATGTGTACCAAAATACTGTCCTAATAAACATAGTGGAACCTCCTTCTCAAACAATGTTCAAAAATTGAAATTGGATTCCAACAGGACTATGCACTAGCTCATATGGCACGAAGCACGCAAAACTGGTTGACCGCCCATGGAATTGACTTTATCGGATATGAACATGGACACTACGCTCATATATATGTAGTTGTTGACGAAAATGATTAAGTAGCGTAAATTGTCCATCTTTGTAAGTTCAACTTCGAACAAGTCTAACAATCAAATCAATCGACGGATCCTCATTCTAGTTACCTCAAAACTTGAAAACAGTGGTTGTAAACAACCCAACGGATCAGTAGGCTGAATTAGTGATGGGCCGCCAATTAGATAGAAGAACCAACAATCAATTGGGCAGAAAGATTCCGGAGTGGCTCCCCCGTAATAGTGAGTGAAATGTACAGCACTCTCTTCACAAGATGGAGTAACGACCGAACATTGGAGCACTGGACATTGGTTTCTCTCATCGTAGTAAGGATTTGCCTTTGATATGCGGATTGACGATCGCAAGACCAGACGACGGCCCCCGGGCGCATTGGATTTGTGTGGGGATAAGGTTTAAAAAAAAAACATTTGCCTAGACGTCTTGTACCTAATCGACCCTAACGGAAATTGTGGCAGTTATTTGTTTAAATTAAATCACACGCCGAGTATATTCAGAAAGTTCATTTTCATCTGAGTTCCATGGTTATCAAGAGGTAAACAACGGAAAAACTAGTCTACAAACAAATGCATAGATAGGGTTTCAACGGTTTCGTTTCAAAGGTTTCGTAATATAAACATACTTCACGAACACAAAGCTTTTCTAGTTCTAGCTCATTTTCCATCCGGAGCGGGGTTGATTTAAAAACAAACAAGAATGCCACGCTAATTAATAATACAAATTAAAGAGTTTTGTTCTACTTTTATTTATAAGAAGATAACAGTTAGATTTTAAATTTAATTAGATTAATTAATTGAATTTGTTTTTTTTTTAAATTTTGTGTAGCCTTAAATATCTTCTTTCTTCCTAAAATTTCTTCTTTGTTGCTTAGCAACCCAATGCTGTAGAATACTGAGATGAATGTTTCGTGACCAATTTGTGAGAATTAACGCACGCAGCAAGTGATATATGAATGGAGGGTCCAGTAGTTCATGTCACTGCACCCACGGGACGATATAGGGCAGTGGATATTCTTACATCGTCACGTTTGTTACATTATATTCCATTAAATTCTTAAGCGAAGCGATAATACTAATATACACATCACGATTGACTGGCACGCAGTAATTCCTAATTCTCACCAGCGCGGCAGGAAACTCCCAGTGCAGAACAAAAGCTCCCTCCCATGGTTGCTACGCTTAGTAATGTGGATAGCAACTGATTTTTTTTTTAATTAATATTGAGCTGTTTTCAGAAAAATGCTACTGCCCATTTCCTGTTTCAGCATCCCTCGGTCGCCTCTTACGACACCTACGGGATTATATGGTTTGTTTGTTTCTCTTACGGCGCACTTGAGAAAAATTATCCCGTATCATAAAATTGTAATAAATTATTACCTATAATATCTGAGATTTTCGTTGAAAGAATATCCTTTAAATGAGATTTAGGAAGATTTGCAATAATTGCGTAATTAATAGACGCTCCTTACATAATTTTATTTTGTTTCCATTGCTATGAGGGTTTATATCCAGGAATAAATCCACCACACTATCTCATTGACAGAAGACGGACTTCAATTTATGTTTCCTTAAAATTGTTTTCTTCTCCGTCAAGAATGTAATAAATTAGTACCCAAAATTGCAAGTAAAAATTTCAATGGTATTTGAGATAGATGTTTATATATGAGATGTTTATATAAGAGAGCGATCGAGCTCACATGGC